GCGAATGAAATGAATTTAAACGTATTGGTAAATAAGTATTTATGTTCATGATTTGTGAACTTGTTTTGCTGTTTTTATTTCCATTGATTAATAAATGTTCTTTATACTCACATACTAAATTAATGCGAATGAAATGAATTTAAACGTAATAACTTGTTTTGCTTTTTTATTTTTAAATTTAATAAACGCTTTTTGTACTCACGGGCTGAATTGGAACAAATAATAATCATTTATGAGCTTAAATGTAAGATACGCAGATTAATAAATATTCTTAATACTTACTCCCTATAGTTAAAGTTTGTTGATGTTATTTTCAATTTCAGTTAATAAAATGCAAATCATTATAATAAAAAAAAAAAAAATCATGAATTAACTTACTTCTTAATCCATTCTTTAAATTTACCATAATTTTCTTCCACGCCAATTCCATAATAGTAACAAATGGCAGTTTTCCAAACTCCCATTGAGTTACCAGCTTCAGCAGACTTTAGATAATATGTAAACGCTTTATGCTTATCAACTTCAACTCCAATTCCTAAATAATAACAATAACCAACTTGATACATTCCATTAGAATCGTTCATGTCAGCCGACTTTTGATAATAAGTAAATGCCTTGTTTTCATCCTTTTCAGTTCCAATTCCATATTCGTAACAATATCCAAGCCTGTAAATTCCGTCTTGATCACTCATATCTGCCAATTTTTGGCAACTAGCGAAATTTAGTTGATTGAAGTTATCGATTAATTTGGTCAAATTTTCGTTGGACATTTTGATTTATGAATAAAAGAAATACATCGACGCTGTAAAATTTATTACTTGCATTGGTTAAACAATATTGCCTAAATTATACCTGTACAGCGTTCAGCAATGGCATGTAGTACGTACGTACGTACGGTGCAGGAAGATTAACACAATGAAGCTAAATTCAGTAGCGGCTTATTTTAAGTTTCAGTAACATGCATAGAATAATCATTGTTAGACATATATTGTTCTTGGCATATTTTTCTATGAAAAAGGTTGAGTTCAAGATCCTTTAAATCTATTGAGATTGAAAATTTGCTTCTAAAGTGCTACCATTAATGCATTATCTAAAATCCGTTTACATATTTATTATTATAAGTAATTCTTAAAGCTAGCTAACACATTCCTTTATTTATTTATTATTATTATAGTTATTACATTTATTTTTCTTTCTATCGTGAACAATTGATAATTGCACCTCTAGAAATACTACAAACTACTTGTACTTTCAATGTGCATTGTGCAATAAGAGGCGCTTCTGTTTCATGCAACACACGTACGTATGTACGTACCCAAAATTTTTTCAAAAAATATTTTATTGACCAAAAAATTGCTGTACATACATACGTAGTACAGTACATACGTACGTATGGGAATATTCTGTATACGTATATGTAATTTAAATTTTTTAGTCTATCTGCCCGCGTGTGCATCAAAAACGTAATTTTTATATAACCTTGCATAGATACTAAAATCTATTACTATGCTCTGACGAAAATATGAATATGTTTTGGGTAATACTACACATTTTTCTAATTTAATAAAATTAATTATGACACTATTTGATCAGATCGAATTCTTATTTTTTTCATAGTTATGGGGCTATGATTTTATGTATAATTTTGTTATGATTTTTAAAATTTTATAATAAATTAAAAAATCTATATTACGGAATTACATATTTTATTTTTATATAAAATAAAGAACATATATGATAGAAATAGTTTATTATTAAGTTTTATATGTATTGTTTTTGTGTAATTTGTATATGTATATAATTTGTAATTTTGCAAGACTCATATTTGCATAATTTTTAAAAATTATAATAAAAAATATCTTACCATTTAGAAGCATAAATAAATCCACAAGTATTCAATTCGTAAATATTCATATTATTTAAAAAAAAAAATTTTAAATTATAAAATTAAAATATATATATAACACTGTATAAATAAAGTTTAATTATTTAAAATTTATAATTACCGCCAATGGCCCACCACCCACCCAGCATGCCAGAGCCTACCTGGCACGCTACTGGAGTTAGTAATTAATACGGCAAAAAATTTAAAAATTACCTAGAATTATTTATTTAAAAAAAAAAAATTATAGTATTAGTAAGTATTTAATGTTAGCATTATTTTTATGCAAATATGAGTCTATGAGTAAGAAGAAAAATGATTTTTTTTCCTTTTTATATTTTAATAAATAGCTCAAAGATACGTACCAGTAGTGATTTAATCACACAGCCATAATTCGAGTTGACGATAGTCAACAGATCGAAAAGGTTGCTAAGCAGGGATACGCCGGTGACAATCCGGTTAGATCCAAGTACGCAGCCATTAAGCCTAATCGGGAATGAAAATAAGTGGATAGCGTGTGAACGAGCACATGAAGTCAGATAAGCATAAATTTAAGTTTTAATCAATTGCCTTATTAAGTCATTCATGGAATCGCTAATATAGTTGCATTAGTAGGGCTGAATATAAGAAGGGAACGCACGATTGTACTATCGGCACCATCCATCCATATGTGCCAAAATTCGCAATGAGCAAACAGAAAACAAAAAACATAGCCAAAAGCAGAAGTGATAGCATAACATCCGAAGATTCGACGGAAACAATCACCGCTTCAGGCAGCCAAGAACCCCACGGACCTATTACAGATATCGAGATACGAATGAAAGCATACATAGATGCGACAATTCAAGCGACAACAGCATCAATAGTACAGAATTTGCGACAGTATATAGACCAACAGGCAGCAACACAACAAGAATGGAACACACGACTCATGGAGACAATCAATCAGAAGTTCACGCAATCAGAACGAACCAATTCAGAAAGCAACGGTCAAAACGTATTAGCTGAACACATTACAAGAACAGCACAGTCTAATAATAACCAGCAAAACAATCAACAAGGCACTATGGAAGCAGAGGATAATAGAGAAGTGACACAAGGTAATTATCCCCCGACACCTATAATTAACAACCTGATATTGAAAGCAAGTTCAGAACACCAGGATGGTGAAACAACGGGCAGTACCAAAACGGCAGATTACATGTTAACTAGTAGAAAGTTTCCATCATTAACCTACTCATCCGAAGAAAGAGTTCCTACAATCCAAGGTTTTCATAACCAGAGAGCTATAGAGACTGAAAAAATCCGGTTATGGTGGATTGTAAATTGGTCGGAAGGGCAAAAAAGGATAGAAATGCTCCCAAGAAAGCCTAACCTGCCTAATAAGCTGTGGAAAACAATAGCACATGGTCTATTTGTTGACCTTCAAGAATTTGTGCATAAAAACCTTATTAATAATGTTAAACAAATGAACGAAGACACATTACTACAAACGTCAGAAGGGTTTTTAACCATCAGGAAGCGGAAACAAAATTTCACCTTCGAAAATATATCAGAGTGGCTGCTAGCATTCAAAGCATATATGGATGCAGTCCTCATCATTTATGATAACAGAGAGCAAGAATTGAACACATACCGAGATCATATAAATGAATTATGTACTAAATACAAATTCTCAGCTGTGATGGGATACGATGAGGACCGGAGAGTCGCACTAGTCATGAATCGAGACTCAACATTAATGGACAAAGACACAGAAGCTGATGGTAAGAATTTCGATGCTGCGGCCATAAAAAGAACTAAAGAAGAATGGCGAAGCAGCAATTGGACCAACACCACATGGCAAGATGGTAAAGAGATATGTCTTAACTGGAACAGGAAAACATGCTATGAAGAGAGAAACTGTGGCAGGGTTCATGCCTGCATTATCTGTAGAAAATTTGGTCACAGCGAAAAGAATTGCTTCCGCAAGCATCCAGAGATGAGGATGGCTAATTTGACTGGTGCCAGTGCGACTATATCAAAAATGCAAAAAAAAAAAAAAAAAAAAAAAAAAAGAACGAAAAAAAAAAAAAAAAAAAAAAAAGTGAATAATAAAAAATATATTAAATTATATGAAAAAACAGGTCTAAAAACTTTTTTATTTAGATCGCATAATATATAACAAGCTAGTCATTAATTCAATATTAAACGAATCCTTTGCGCATACAAAGAGACCTCTCTAAATGCACTCTCTATAAATGCACCCTCTATGTAAAATCTCTTTAAATGCATAGTTTAGTCTGGTC